AGTCGATCTGGAAGTACAACCTGTTATAAACCTAGAAGTAGGATATGAATCTGAAACTAGGAATCCAGGGAGACTTTGACCCAAATTTCTTAAAAACGCGACAACCTTTGATTTCAGCGTAAAGCTATCGCCTTTTTTAGAGTGTCGTGAATAGCCAGGTTAGAAACTGATGATTCTCTCTCCCCATCAAAATTGGCGGTATGCCACTCAGAGAGAAGTGAGGGCCTGGATGACTACGGTGTAGAGAGCCCGTCTCATTGCTACATTTTCTTGAGATCTGTGGGTTTCATTTCATTTTAATCCACATAGACCAATCAATCCCTATACTTTTCTGATAACTGGGAGCCATCATTATTTTTTGGGCTTATGAAGGTAGACCGTAGAGGAGGTGGATAGAGCCAAATGGCAATGCTAATGCAATGATGATCGATACCCAGTAAATTATCCACGATTCCAATCCCACAATTTGTTTACTGGCACTCGGTCAGTCCGTGATGCTGAAGGAAATCCTTACTCATAAGCGATCTCGGGGAAGTCATTGTATAGAGGAACTACTCATCCGAGAGCCACTACGATTCTGAGGAATGTCGAAAGTATAGGGGCCTTCCAAAATCCGGAAAAATTTGATCAATACCGAAAACTTCATATACTCTACTCTAGTGTATCCCTTACCTGTTTTAATACTTCGGAGCCAGATTTTGGGCATAGCCTATATTTGGATGTACTATTTTGGCAACCTGAAAATCGATATTTTATTGACCCCTTTCCCTACCTTTCATAGCTTTAGACAATCTGATTATCGTAAACACCTACCTGGAATTTTGTCTATGACCTCCCATTCATTTATTGCGAGGGCTTCATAACCATACCTGGAAATTACTTCAAAATGATAAAAAAAANAAAAAAAAGTGATCGGTGATATGACAGAATGTAAGAAATAAGAAATCAAACTAACTTGAAATAGGACAGAGCAGATAGCCACTTGAAATAGCTAGGAATAGATTCGAAGGTGATGAAGAATCCTCCAAATGCCAGCATTGGGACTACGAAGATGGGCAGAAATGTCATCGCGACGTCAGTTCGCTCGAAAAGGGTCGCAACGGCATATGCTTGAAAAAGTTGCCTTAACCTTGGAGATGGAACCAATTTTCTAGTCAACAAAAACCAATTTTTCGCTCTCGAGTCCCCTTTAGAGCGCCTTCGAAACCTTCGATAGAGGACAGTTTTCGTAGCATCCCCATTTTTAGTAATTCTTGACAGGATCTATGAAGTCAGCCAATGCATCACCTTTGATCAAAAGGAACCAATTTCACTTACAAACTGAAATGGCGACACTCGTCAAAAGAGCACAGATGAGAGACGCGAATAAGAATGTCCACAAGTTTGGAACTAATCCTGAATAGAAAACTTATGTAATTTTTTCGAACCCATGATAGTATGCTGAATAACTAACCGGACATCCAGTAAACAATCAGATTGTAGATGGTTGGAAGAATGATGTATTCTGGCAGCTGAATATGACTAATATCGTACAACAATTCAGGTACACAGTAGGTTGAAGGAGAAGCAACATCCCTTGGAAGGCCAGCTCTCGACCAGAATGTTTTCTGAGATTCAGTGCCCTGCCTAAAAACCCCATGGCAGTTTCCCCAAAGTTCCGAGAGAGGTTTAAACCATTGAGAATGTTTCGTAAGATACTTTCCGCTCAACCTGATTTTTGCTCCCCCAAAAAATTGTCTCGAATTTCGACAAACTCCTTTTACTGCCGAACTTCCACTGAGCAACAACAAGTTGGCTTCTCATCTCGGTTGTATTGGAAAACTGGTCAATATACTAATTAGATGTTTCTCACCTCGGCGAGATTCTTCCCAATAAAATACGACGATGAACTATAAATTCCATTCGAGTTCTCACGAAATACAATAGCCAGTTCAGACGTGATGGCCTTAAGAATTTGATTAACAGTGATACAGCTCAACAACGAAAATCAATAAATATCTTACCGGAACAGCAGGGAATTGCAGCATAAAGTTCAGGTTGCGTACATGATTGAAGAGTATTCCATTTATGGAAATAACCGTATCAGCTCTGACTGCCGTTTGGAAATAAACCATCCCAGTTAAGACGGCAATGATCTTAAATAGTAAGCTGCTCTTGATTAATAAAGTTTCATGTTCATGAATGTATTTGATACCATTGAACTCTCACGATCACTACATAGAATGGCATGCTTAAACTCAAGGTTGTCATTTGTTTTCTGACTTGTTTATTTGTTTATTCGTTCGGTATACACTAGCAACCGCGCGCTCTCGAAGCAACGACTTATTCAATTAAATAATAGTACAATGAATACTAAATAGTAATAAATGCTAAATAATAATGATAATATAATAAATAACGTTAATAATGAATAATAATAAATGCTAACTGGACTAAATCGAATTCGCCGACCTCGTTTTAGTAATTTATGCTCCCCCCCCCCNCGATGAGTTTCCGAAATCACAAATATTGGAGTATGAAATTACTGGCTTACCACAGTTTGTAGAAGTCTGATGTTCAGCAACATTGGGTCTCTAATCACCGTCAACCAAGCTCTCCAAGTCAGTGCTTTCGTCTGAGCCCAAAACGATGCCGGATATCTGAAAAAATGGTTCACTCTGAATCGAACCTCTGATTTGCCTTCCTCAGGGAGCCATAGTTCACCATTACATTATAAAAAATTGAAAAATTAGTTTTTCCAACATCTGGAAATTCAGAACGAAAACAAACAGCCAGATTCACTTTTAGTATTTGACAGTGAACAAAAAAACAATAACTTACTGCATACTGAGGAATGACCTGTTCTTGTCTTCGTTCAATCCCACGACAGCCTTTTCGTCTACCTGCGAAAGAGCTGACCATTCAGAAGGGATGTAATAAAGAATATATAAAAATAAACCTTTCTTTCACTAATTTCTTGCACTAGCCTTCCTTGAGGGGTCTGACGAAATGCATTTCGAATTTTCTGAACGAGTAACTTCATAAAATGACATGATAACTAGTGAAATATTTAATTATCAATATATCCTGCTACTATCCGAAACTGAGGAGAAAACCAATTTTACATAAAGCAATACTAAGCCGGTTTTTTAAAAAGTTAAAAACAAGCTAAAATGGCTAATTCAAACATCAGGTTGTCGGAAAAAATCATCGCGAAATTCAATTCTGTTGAGTTTTTAATAACAACAATACACATTAAGAAAAGAAGGAAACATCATCTTGTTCCCCGACAACCTAATATTTCAACTTTCCCTAATGAATCAAAAAGTTTCTATTGCAATTCTATTACTTCAAAGGAATTTCCAAACCACGCAGTCGCTTACAGAAATGGTCTTCAGTGAAGAACGTCGTTGTCCAACGATGACGGAAAGCGTCCGAATGAGATGATCTGATGGATTACAGTAATCCGGACAAGGAAAGCCACATCTTAAACGAACATATTTTTTTGAATTTCAAAGGATAAAGGATAAAGTTTTTGGCGTTAACCAATCCCGTCTGAGGGATGCGCCCCACATTCAACTTCCATTCAGAATCGTAGTGGCGTAATAGATATTAATGGACTACAGGGCGCAAGTGATGTTGTGGCAAGTGGCGCACTATCTCATGCGCACGGTCACGTATTCGAATCCCGAATCGATATTCCGCATATAGCTAACTAAGCCTTTCATACCTCCGGGGTCTATTGGTCGGTACCACACTTGTCTGGAAGGATATAAGAACTGAACGCACCCAATCAAAACCGCACCTACGGAACGGACACGGGGGTACAACCCTAAACGGTATCGATTAACGCCAAAGACTTTTCTTTTCATAATTTTATGATGGCTAAACGGAACGGTGGTGTAGTGCAAGCTGGCGCACCATCAGATGCATGTGCGGGGATCGCAACCAATATTGATACCCACCCGAGCCATCCAAGCCCCTATTCTTCCGTACTACTGGTACCAGACTACGGATCACCATTAAAGGGCCCCGACCTGTGCATCCGCTGGCCACCTCAATACATTGTGAGGGTCACATATGCCTCCAAAACGTCAATACAATTCTATGTGAGATCCAATGCGAGGGCGTGTTCCGAGACGGAATTGATTAATCCAAAAAACTTAACCCTTTTGTTGCTTGACAGGGCTACTAGTTCAGAAAGGTTCCTTTCAAGCGGTGGTCGCTGTCATAGGGATTCTGATCTTGCAGGAGGCATATGCAAAGAACATAAGGTGAAAAGGATGTCTTATGATGTAACCTTTCAAATAGTGGAGTTGCTTCTTCACTAGGTCCAAGATAAATGATTCGACCGCATGCCATGAGGCAAACACTGAAATCAAAGAAGTTAGAAGGCCTACCGAAAGCATCGCCAGGCACTTACTCATTGAAAAGTGAAAAGACCTGACTGCTTGGCTGATGAATAGTGATAACCACCGTCATTCCGCCATCCGCCAGTTCTCGTAAAGACGCTACGACACGTCCTTAACATAGTTTGTTGGTGAAGTATGAAAGGTGATATCACCTTGCCACCTCCTTACCTGCCATGAAAGCATCTAAGCCTGACGTTGGCTCATCGCAAAATAGTATTCTCGGACATGTCAGAATCTGGAGTACATATGATATTCTCTATAGATTTTCTTGGTACTAGCTAGTATGTTTAAGACCAGAGTTGATCAATCCCATTTATGGGAAGGCCCACACATTCGTCTTTTGTCAAAATAACAAAGGCATTGGAAAGCAAATGTCCCCTATACAATGATTGGCGGTGGTCAGCCGATGTAGGGATTGGTATTCCCATTCTTTCAAACCTTTGTCGTTCCAACGTAAGGCATAAAAGGGATGAATTCTGCCTTGAGTGGGCCAATATACACATTCAAATGGCTTCTGTGATTCATAGAAAAGGTCAAATGCGTGACGCACCCCAAAATACAGGAACTATAATCATTCGAAAAGTTTCCTTCTTTCATACCTCAGAGGCGAAAGAGAGACGCTTCTGTTCTCCGCATGACAGGCCTTTTATTGAATCCGGAGTTCCAATCTTTGTATCAGCGCAACCCAGTAGGCCCATCTGAAACGCCAGACTAGTCTGCGCTATACTGCTTATTGTGTAGCTTCCTGGCTAGCAATTTCCGAATGATCAATTTAAGTATATAGTCGATATAAATGACTCCAACCTTCCGTATCACATCCTCCACCCTCAGTTCCTGCTCAGCAGCAGTGTAGCCGGAACCCATTCGCATTTTCGCCTGCATAGTCACATTATAAGAATAATTTTGTTTTCTAATTTATCAGTGATTTTTTCTTAAGTATAGATTTTCGGCTATCTATCCATTCGGGATCTGATATGTGGTATGAACCACTCAGTTGATCTGTTGGGAAATGGAAAAAGGTTTGCTGTCCATCGGCTGCTTTAGCTTTCTGTGCTCATTCTTTCAAGGTGTACCATACAATGTAAAAAGTAACAGATCGTAAACATGGGTAACATGAAGATAACCAACAAGCAGCTATCTCTACAACATACATATAAGCCATCCTAATATATCTGACGAGCTAAGTATGTCCGTTGGTTTGTCGGCGTGTGTCTGAGTATGTGGGTTGTATGTGTTGCGTGTGTTGGTGTGTGTGTGGCCCTATGGGTGTGCATGTGTTGGGCCAAGAACTTATACTCTTACTCTCTTGCACCAGTGCGCCCAATGTCGGTAGATAGCCGAGCGGCAAGCCTATATTAACATGAAAGGAGAACCCGGCTTTAGCTTAACGATCCGACTGATGAATTATGAAAGGGAAAGAAGGATCAAAAAGGGTTCGCTAGTCATTTCAGCTTCATCATAAATAGGACCACGAGACGGGGTAAGCTGAGCATTCCTTGTTTTTGTTACCTTCTACTGGCCATTTACGGCTGCCTATATTTAGTATATATCAAGAACTCTTTTGAAACATTAAAAATATCGCTCAAACTGACCATAAATCGTAGGTGCTCACGTGCTGTCAATGTCCCAATAAACATGTCATGTTGTTGAACAAATGCCGATATCTGGAATGGATATCCCTCTCACAATTCCATTTCGCATTGCAGGTTGAACATAATCGTGCTCATTCATTCAGAGTAACAGTCCACGGAAAGAAGGTTTCGTAAGATATCTTATGTGTTGGAATCAATGGATCTTCAGAAGGCTTCCAAGGGCCTAGTCAGGGGGAAAAGTAGGCTAGAGAGAGCACGTTAAACGCTCGAGCTCGTTCCCTACTCCTTGATCATCGTAGAACTTCTCCTGCCGATGCTACAAACGTCACCGGCTCCTCGCTGGTTTAGACTGAACAAATTAAACAGCTGATAAGAAGCAGACTATTTCCTCGGTACGTTTACCACTTGAGAAGTCCAAAAAAGAATCCAAACAGACCACTTCGATCTGCTTTTGCTTGTTATTGCTTGCAAAAATGTTTGAAAGCCGAGTCATAGGAACTGTGATGGCATGTCTTGGAACACATCTACTACTGAGATCATCACGAATGATATACGGTAGTAGCTTGCTACTGATAATTGCTAAGAGCTTCGTCCGTTCTTCAATAGGGTCAACAAATTAATGCCATTCTAGAGATCCTTCACAAAACTGGACTAAAATTAACAAAAACGCCGAAAATACCGATTGGGAAGGTTGATGTTGAATAGTAAGAACCGAGAAAGGGCTTTTCATAAAAAGGGAGGAAGAAAGAGCAAGAGAAAGAGAAAGAGAGGAGAAGGGAAAGTTTGTTATGTACCCAAGGATTGCTCTTTGCATCAAATTTCAAATGAAGAGCGGATTAACGCTTTTTGTATATCTGTAAGTACGACAACAAGTACCTCCTTCATCCTCCATTTGCTTACTCGATCCCCGTCAACGGTCACAAAACCGTTAACGTCCAATCCAGAAAGATTTCTTGATGTTAGCACATTTAATAATGTTGTTTTTCCAGCTCCACTGAAACAAAGTTGTTCTTCTTTATCAGGAGAGATGGAGTCGTCTGTGTGGTATTTATAGCCTGCTCACCTGCTTCCCATTATCGCCAATAGTCTTCCAGCTCTAGCAACACCACTGACTGAAAAAAATGAAAAATCAAAGCCTTTCCTCTTCCATTGGGGTCACTATAATGACTTGTAGGACTATTTCATAGTACATATTTACTTCATTAAACTATTCAGCAAAAAATTCAAGTTCCTAAGTCATTCATATGAAGTTGTCATCATTTCTTCCTATTCATTCAATTCTTTTTGGGGAACGGTTGTAATCATACCTTCGTGAAGAATTTCGACCGTTCTGTTAGAGCGATAAGACAGAAACTTTTGTCGTAAAGTAGTTGGCTTCTGACTTGGTCCATATACACAAATTTTCGTCCAATGAATGTCACATCTGTAAAATGACAAATTTTTTGCTACAGTATTCCATTGGTACTGTAACAGAGAAAGTTGATACTTAGATGGTTCGCTATTCGCTAGGGACTGTCACTGTTTCCATCACTATCAAAGAACACGAATCAATGGTGAGTGGTCGCTGGATCTCTTCGCATGTTTACTTATATACTTATTCTTTTGTCTGTTTATTTATTTATAATGCATTCATGGTGGACCATGGCTAATAGATTGTGCAGGATCCCTGCTAAACTCATGGTAGTAAAAGTAAAGTAGTAACCGAACCGGGAAGACGACACAGGTACGACCTATAGAAGAGAACGAAGAAAACAAAAGTTCGGTAAATAGGAAAAAACCATCAACGAATACATGAGGTTGCTGACAGACGTTGTAGAGTTCGAGCAGAACAAAATAGGGAGAGAGGGGAAGCCTGAATTAACTTTCAAGGGCTTTCAGATTGCAGAAGTATGAGATTCGATCCCTCGCAAACTATGCCACAACGAACATCATCTCTAAAACCGGCCCCTCTGACTTACCTGTACGGGTTTTACAGAAGTATACTGGTTGTTAGACTTCGAAGACGTTTGTTTAGAATTTACTAGTACAAAGAATACCACTAGCCATTTATTGGTATGTGAATCGAATAAAAACTCACCCTTTAGGTATTTTCAAACTTTTGCCATTCACTTCACCATTAGCCTGGAGTCTTGACAATGATGGGAATCGAGTAAGAAGCCCATTCAAGCTGGGGTAGATACGAGAACGAGGTTGTAATGGCAAACTATCGTCTGGCATCCCTCTGAAGCACTCTGCTGGCTTTCGAGGGCTCATTATTCCTCGCCTCAAACGCTCTACACTATGCGACGGTTCTAACTATAAATATACATAGATTATTACATGAATTACGTTAGAACATCGAAAAAAAATTTGAAAAAATAGAGAGAACGCGAGGTTGAAAAACACGAAGACGAAGTGAATGTGGGCCTGATCGATACCGATGAGGTCAATAATGATAAGCGTCGATCATGCCGTAAACAACATTATGGTAGATCAATATACTTTCCATAGCCAAAATATTGAGGCCCAACAGTTCTGAATAGGGCTAAACCTGATCAGATTTTCATTTAATACAAGGTTCAGTGGTCTGTGAAGCTGAATCTGTGGAATAGCTACGTCAGGGTAGCCCTGCCCTTCTTGGGTCTATCCCCTAGGTGTTCGATAGAGTTTTGACGTCCCCGAAAGATTAGCCCAATCAATTGCTAATGCATGGGCTTTTATCCCTTGGCATAAGGAGGTCTTGAAGATTGGGTGGCAGTTGTCTGATAGTCGGCAGGGTAAATTACAGTCGAGTTGGTGCAAATCAGTACACAGAGGCTCCGATAACGAGTAACTTGGGGTGGTTGGTGCTACCAAAGACACTCTTTAATTCTTCAACAAACATATACTTTACTAGTAATCGTTTGGACCACGATGTGAAGAGCAGTCAATTTTCAACATGGAAAAAGGATATCTGGGAGAAGAGGAGTTCAGGGCCTCCAATTTCGCTGACTTCACCATGGGACTAGATGAACCCTACCAGAAAAGAATACCTTCGAGATGGACGTGCCTAAAATGCGAAAGTGGGGGGAAAATTCAGCTCTACGAGATACGTTGGCCTCGACTACTCCTTCTTTCTTCTCTGAGAATATAGAATAATAGAGAAGTGGCTCATACACAGATATGTACTATTACTGTATACTTCCGGTGTTCTATTTAATCCTTTATTTATCTACTTATTTGTTTATTTATTCACTTACTTGGTATGGCAACCAGTGAATGAGCAGCTCCGAGAAATTAACAAACTATCGTTAATTCTCTCCGTGTACGAAACTGTCGTGCAAAGCTCCCCATTCACTGCTGAAGGAGATTTTTCTGCTCAGTTCCAAGGTTCTGTAGGTGATTGTTTGCAGAAATCATCAAACATCGCGTGCCCTGAGAGTCGCGCTCTCAGGAAATATGCCGCTCTATTACTTCCCCAGTTCATTTTCATCGTTTTGCTGACTCTCATTTGTAATCGTCAGTATTCGCTTGAATCACCTTCTAGACATCTCTCACTAAGCAGTAAGTAGCTTTATTTTCTTTTGGTATAGATGAATTCGTATTGTAATGATCCGGAATGAATGAATAAATGCATGGTGTTGAGCAGAGTGTCTCCCATTCAGAGAGGAAGATAGAAGGTGGAAACCCACTAAATTAGGCTTTGACTTCAATTTTGGATTACACTCCTCTCCAGTAGGTTTGCGTCTTGATCGCTCTGAGGCGAGAAATCCGAAACTAAACAACCTAGTCCGTGTCCTTTCAGAGTTCATTTACTCCTTATTTTTCATAGATTTACGAAATCATGCAATTTACTTTGTTTTTATAATTGTTCCCCTTCATTATTTGTTCCACTGCTTTGGGATTAGGAGTGATGACAAGGAGTTCGTTGCTAGCATCCTGGCCATTTGATCGCTCGCTTTGATCAGAGCCCCTAATCTTTTATGGAAACGCTCCTTTCCCCTTATCAACGTATACTATTCAAACACTATTTTTGAGATGGTTTACGTGTGTCATTACAGCCTTGAACCCTTATTTTTTAGGAATCAATCAATGTAGAAAATGAACAATCGCCGCTTGTTTTGTTTACCTCGCATATCCTGTTCTGAGGAACTACTCTCAGTGGCCTTCCATTTTTGATAGGTCTTCATTGGCTACACACAAACATTTCACTTAATATGTCCTTTTAGAATGACGAACGATCAGGTTCTACTTGCGTTGTTGATAGCATTCCATATATGGTGCATTTGTTACTCGTCTAGCTCGTCTACAACTTCGGTCTATGGATTCGTGCAGTCATAAGAAAAACAGCTTGTCAACCCTCATCATATCTCTGTACACATTACAGTGATCCCTATTTTGATTGCAGTTTGCCACAACAACCTAGAGGCTTTCTAGAGTATAAATGGTGCCTACCAAATCTCTACCCATCACGATTAAGCTGATAAGTTTGTTTTAAGACAGTCACGGTGTATCGAGCTTAAAAAAGTTTTTATAAAGATGTTGAACTTCTGTTATAATACTTTAGTTAAATCAGTTCACCAAAGTAGCCTAGTTATCGATTACGGTTACTGCTTGTATGAACTCCTTGACCCATCTAGTCTTGGAAAAACTTCCATTAGCTTGATACTTTTCGACGACTCTCCAGATAAAACCAAAAAGGATCAATTGGATTGCTGTCATAGGGGGAGTGAAATTTGAGTGACTGCCTATTTTGATTATTTTTTCATCAGGAATTTTTGCATTATTGATTGTACATTTGTATAAACCGCTTTCACTTCAATAGCGATGTAATACTGCAGTCGGAAGGCGTAGCCACCGTCTATGGCAGTCATTTCGGGCGCACTGAAGCTCGCATGAGTGCTGGGCACTGATAAGCTTTAATGGGAGAAGAATGCACCTCCCAATCCTCTTCTATTCAAGACAGTAGTAAGGTTAAGAGCCTCCACAAGGAGTCACAGTGCTCGGCCAATGTAGAAGTCAGTGTTTTTATCCTATCGAACATGGCTGGTACCAACAAACAGGCTGCGGAAGTGTAAAGGACTAGATTGCTCCAGGCGAGTAACATTCAAGGATTTGATCCTCGGCCCGAGTGTGCGCCAGGGCTCCAACAGGCATTACACTATATTTGGCTTGATACACACATAATTTCCAAAAAAATTGGAAGCAGTTTACTGAATCTCCATGTGTTACCGGAACTAAGCTGTATTTGCGTTCAGGTGGAACTAATTTTCAAAATCGTCATCCCCGATTGGTGAAGACTTAGAGCAGCCTAGCATGACCTGTCTTACGACACGTTTTGAAAAAGCTTTATTTCATGGAAAATGGGAAGTCGAAGATCCCAAGCAACTTATTCGACTTCTCCCATTTTTTTTTTGTTCTTTTAAGAACTCATCTGACATAAACGTCGATCACTTCAATGTCTCCGTCGACCTTCATTCTCTTATAGTCCACCTTGGGGTCCTCCGTACGATGCGCAAAGGTACCAAATAGCTCATCATCCACGGTAATCTGGAAGTGTAAATGATGGTTGCTTCAGTAAATCCATTCACCTCTCATTTTGATGCACCCTGGGGGTAAAGCGTCCTAGTCTCCAAGGATTCCTTCAATTTCTCGAGCTTAGCCGCTTTCTAAATATTGAAGTTGCATTCTATTCACTTTTGGTGCATGGTTCACAAATCTCAAATACTTCTCACATCCCGAGGAACGAGTCCCATTTGCCTTCTAATGAAAGAGTATAAGTTCAGTATCTAGTAAAAAGGGAATGTAGTACCAAGGTTTCAGAGTGAGGTACCAAATACCGACCTAGGAGGAAGTGAATCTCTTTCGGCCAGCCTTTGTGTTTACCAATCCGAAGCATGATTTGCGAGATACGAGCTGATAGTGGAAGATATGGTACTCACCACACTCCCTCCCAAAGTCCTCTATTCCACCCGAATATACCTAATTATAAACCACCAGGATAAGAGTGCATGGGAAGCCTTTTGGGATCTCACTAAATTCAAGACAGATCGCATTGCGCTTAAAGAAATCTACCTCACACTATCCCAAGTCCATAACGAGCGAAAAGCTATAGAATGGTCATCTCAATCTAATTTAGCACCTCAAGAGGGTCAATGTGCACACTAAAATTCGATGTTGCATTTCATTCAACTTCAGCGGGCCATATACTTCCGAATCTGAAGAGCACTCCATCTCATAGAAAAAAGCTTCCGTGGTTCACTCGACGAAAAGGAGTCGTAGGATAATTGCGGAAGATGTATAAAATATATCCTCGTGGGTTTCCTCAATTCCAACCTTGTATTACAGTACTCACCCTGATTGAGTAGGGCGTGTTCTGGAAAACTATACTGAACGGTTCACCCATTTTGAACGGGAACGGTCCTTCCTTTTCTTCTCTTCCCCAGGACCCGTCAAAGAGTGCATTGCGTATGACCTGAAAGTAATGATCAGTATGGAATTTCCAGCACATATTGATAGTTCCGAATTTCTCGGAGGCGAAAGGGCCTTCTACCTCGAAATGTCTCTATGGCTTACAGTTTTTGCTCTGAGTAATGCCTTAAAGTGGAACAGAATATCCCCATCGTTGCCGGGCAACTCGAGGGTCCATCTATCACCTCTAGGAATCCCTTGAAGAATGATGCTCTGATCTGAAACATTTTTTCTTTTCAGGGCTCGAAAGGAGAAATTTTTAGTGGGGAACGTTTCTTACTAGTTTTCAGGGATCCACCAGGGAATCCCATCTCCAGAGGAAGTGTAGTATCTCTGCAATTTAGTTAGGTTACTTTTTACTAGAAACTTCGTTTGCACTTCCTTACCTGCGCTCACTCGAAGAGCTGCCCAACACCGTACAGTCTCCATAGATGACGATACGATCGAGACCATCATACGGCGTTCGATGCTTGTATTTGTACAGCTTCTTACCATTACATGAGATCTCGAAGTATGTGGCATAAACACTGCAAAACCCTCTAGCAGTTTGTATTCGCATGGGCACATGGCTATGGCTCCTTGGAATGAACCTTCTGACATATTTGCTATCGATACAACAAATAACATTTGTCGTGACTCGCGAACGACTTAGCGGGTTTATAGCAAGCGTCGGGAGGAAACCGGGCCCCAGATCCAGTCGCAGTTGGTCCCACCGCGAAATGCAGAAATTGCGAGGAGCGCGAGAAAACTAGTTATAAGCATGCCATCTCGTTACTCCAATTAGTCGTCTTTATGTAGTCGTCGGGCCTGGATGGTGGATCGTCGTGTGCTCCCTTCTCTGTTCGTGCCGAGGGCTTCCCGTAACCGTCGATCATCGCACCACAGCTAATCTCCTCTTCCCCTCACCTCTCGTCTCATATCCACGTTAGTCATGGTGTAGTTTGTTTTACTCATGCATATATTCGTAATATTGCATATTTGTAATATTACTGCATCATAATATTTCATTTACTATTTGCCCATCAATTGAAGTTTCGTCATGTTGTATCATTATGACTTGGAGGTAACTTCCTATTATTCCTGTGTGGTCATGCAGGATTTACCCCGAGAGTACTTTGGACACTTTGTAGCTGGGCATTTGTTCGGCATCAGGAGACTAGGTCCTTTTCCAGCCCGCAGCAGGACTGTCCAGCACTCCTTGGCACGACGCGTCCCCTTAGGGGTGCGTGGGCACCCCAATACCCACGTTCTGGCGTAGCCGGGGTGCGGGAACGCCGATGCAGACAGCAGAAGGCCCCTCGTCACGATAACATTATAACATTCAACAACATTATATAAAATTAATGATGGCATCAAAACGAAACTATGCGAAAAGAGGTTAGACGGACAAAATGATGAACGACAAATATTCTGAGTTCGTAAAATTACTTGACTTCCAAGGTGAATGATTCTCCTCTCCTGAACACCAACGGCGCTAGTTCTTCTTCTCCCCAATGACCATCCTAGAACATATCAATTTAGGCACTACACAAACCTTCAAATATGTGTCGGATCAGTCAAACAAACAACAAACTGTGTTCCCCCCTCAAAATGGGTAATAATAACATCGTCTGAGGGATACGCCCTGCACTCGACTGTCGTTCAGGATGGTAGTGGCGTTTTGAATGCATATGTAGGCTATACAATGACTTGCGGTGGCTAGTCTATGTAAATGTCAGTGCTCTATTCCCAGACAAGTCTGGTACCAATAAATGACCTCAGAGAAATGGAAGCCTTGTTTGGTTTAGGCGAGTACCGATCCGAGAATCGAACGCGTCGTCATCGTGTATGAAGGTGGGCCACCTCCATCCTCTCCCCCAAAACCTAAATCAAAGTCCAGCTCTAGTGTTCAAGATCAAATTAGGCAATACAATAAGGCCTGCAGATTGAATGCTTTTATAGTTACTGTCTGTCAATGCTGCCTTTCTCGGTATGAGTGTTCTTTTCGAAAAATTCATTTTAGTTTAACGACTGCTGATTTTGCTGCAAATAGCAAATGCAAATTAAGATTATCATAAAAGAAAAAAAAAACAGAACCATAGACGGCTATCCAACTCAAACCTGTGTTTCTCAAGTACGCTACGAATTTCTTGAACACTATCTTTCAAGAGAAGACACACCAAGTAGCTGTTCATGACGGTCGTGTTTTGATAGAAGCGAGGATTCACATGCAATACATTCTGTTTTGGATTGGCCGATGAGTACAGATTGAAATCAACTCTGCAATTGGATACTCATTTTGAAATGGATGTTGCATTAGAACTGATAAAGCATGAATTATGAAGACTTTTCAGTGATGCGCACTCTTGTTTTGGGATGCGCCACTCTTTCACACTCAATTCAGAATCGTAGGGGCGTTTTGATGTGGCCTATAGAAAAACACGTTCGTAGCCGAATTGCAAAAGCTACACATATATTCAAGAGACTCCAACCAACAACGTCACTATCGTCCATATCTCGATGCATCGAGGTACGCTTGTGTTCTTCTATTGTGTTTCCTACTGCACTTCATGCAAGCGAATCGTGGACTAGTGAAAAAGATTGATGCCTGCGTAGGATCATAAAGCGACGATACACGGATCTTGGCCCAACAGAGGAAGCTCTGCGCAGCCTGTTATGTATAATCTCCACGTGACTGTGGCAAGGCGTAGACTTCGATTGGCCGGTCACATGTTGCGTAAGCGTTTTCTCAGAAACACGTGGAAAAGGACATTTGACAACGACCTCAAAGTCATAAATGATTCCAGGGACGAAGGGGATGGTATTGCACAGGATCGGCGCAACAGCGGAAAGACTTCATTGTCCAATATGCTCAACGGCATGGGGGGAAATAAGTTTAAGTAATAGAATGACGTACGATCGCCAGTAAACGAACTCCATCGTATTCCCGAACTAAATAAATTAATACTAGTTGAAGGCACAGCTCCCGATAGAAACATTTTCTGAGTTTTCTTCGTGGTAAGAACCTGTGACTCCAAAGGATAGCACAAAGGGCGCTGCCGGATTGAAAAGTGGACTGAATAGGGCATATTAAGGGCCTCAAAATCGGTTTAGCCCACGGACACTCCAAAGGCGGTTGAGTTTCCACGCCGTTGTAGAAGCTGCACAGGTTGCAACACTTCTACCGGGACTCACACGTTCAAATACCCCTTGCATGGAACTTTCATCGTCACATCCTTGTCCAACCCCTAATTTTACTCGTTTTGAGGCCTTACATTCTCTAATTACGCCGATTCGAGTTTTCTTCGTACCTTTGCACGCACTATCCTGGACTATCGCTCCCGTTACTCGTCTACAATTATATACCCCAAAATTGTCGTGGAATGTGCCCTCGAGTGACGTGGGCGGTGTGAAGTGCTGGACCGGCATAGATATCGGTCCGACTTGACCGTATCAGCCCGGCATTCGATATGCGGACCACGCGCATCGCATAGCCCTTATAGTCGGCTCAGTAGCACTGGCAGTGTTCGTAACGAACATTGAAGGGTAAACAAAATAGATGAAGTAAATAAGTTTTCCTATAAAAATTTCGAACACATATACACGTTTCTTCTACCATAATGATATAAAAAAGTGGCTGACTTATTAGCATCCTCGTTGATTCTTCCTTCAATGGAGAAGCTGTCTCCAGCTTTTAAGGGACGAAGCTTGAAAAGAACAGGAGTGGAACCAGGAGCTTCCACTGCTTGAGCCTAAAAACGTTTGCTAAAACACCTTCTGGGTGCTGTTGCCTTCATAAGTCGGAGAAAGTTCTGTTAACAATCCATCTTCCTGTGCTTGTTACTTCTTTACTCAAAAGTAATCAAGATGTAATCAATCTTAAAACGGAAGCACTCGACCAGTAAACGAGTGGTACCTTCTAGGATTTAATTAGCAAGTTGTTAAAAAAGTTCGTGCAATTTCTGTTATTTATGACATATTTCTGAATAAAAATTTATTATAATGTTGTGGGTTTATGGTCATAGTTGACGAATTATTTTTGCTGGGAAAGCATTGAGGGGCCGGAACAAGTAATCTGAGGGGGCAATATCAGGTAAATAAGATCGCTGTGGAACCTTGTCCCAGCTTAGCTCCTCCGATTTTGCACGGGTCTCTTTACCGATGTGAGGACTAGTCTTGTCATGGAGGAGGCCGCCGGAAGAAGTTCGTCTGGACTATTTTTCTCAAACGGCTTCCGCAACTTTCTGCAGTTGACCAGCGTAATAGGGAACGGTGACGGTGTGGCCTTGCTTGAGCAGTTCGGGGAGACAAATGGCGCGGTGCTTGTCAGCGCTGTAGAAGATCCAGCGGGTGTACCGCATGCTATCGGTCAAGGCACGAGGTATCCATCGAGTCAGCACTTTTCTGTAGCAGGAGCTCTGAAGGCGAAAGACGACCATTGATTGGGCCACCAAGGACTCGTCGCAAAGCCGCGTGTGAACGTCAGGATCCTCTTTGATGGTGAACTGATGGAGTCGTCGACGGCGAGCAGCGTCCCGACCAATGTTTTATCTTCGAAGCCCGTGTTGCCTTCTTAGGCGAGCGAACCAACGATGGACCGTAGCTATGGAAGTGATGCCCTCCCCACGTAGACTATCAATGTTGCGAACGGTTGCGGTGCCTCGATTAGTCGCAGAAGATGATGTATTGAAGATGGTCTCGTGGAAATGACATCGTGATTTTAGCTAAAGGATGAAGCACATCTATATATACTCATTACGGAGAAGGATCTAGAATGTTCCACCATTACCACATGGTACATCATTGGTATCGATTGATAATCGAAAGCTGAAGAACTTTGAAAAAACCCTATCAAGGCTTTTTGAGAAACCTAATAGCATGGATAGAAAGTGTATTAGCATGATTTCCTTGCTTGATTCTGGCTAGACCGGAGATCTGTTGAGAAAGCTCACTCTGTCAATGAGAAGTACCGCAGCGGTGACGAAAGTTTTGAAGATGACGAGCGCACAGGTCGACCATCCGTTGTTGACGACAACCATTTGGTAGCTTCAATCAGAGCCGATCCATATAAGTGTTCACGACCTTGTTAAATAATAGTTATAATGTATTCCACCACAACGACCTGCAGGAGATTGGCACGACGAAAAAACTCGATTGATGGCCTTTCTGAATTCGCGTGATACCATTGGAGTGGAGAGGCACTGTCAGCATCTCAACAGCATCGACACTAATAGCATGGATAGAGGGTGCATTAGCATGACTTCCTTGCTCACTGTCAGCATCGAAATAACTCGAGAAGTTCAGCGCATATGCCCGGCATTGATCACCAGGCAGGGACCAATACCGCTCCACGAAGATGCTCCAACTCGCATCACACAGTCCACCCTACAGAAGTTGAGCGAATGGGGCTACCGTACCACGCGTCATTCATCACGCTCTTCAGACCTCTTTCTACCGAAGACCTTTTTTCTTCAAACATCGCGACATCTTCCTTTGCGAAGAAAACTCCAGGAACCGAGAAGACGTTGAAGATCATGCGGCATTCTAATAACTTCCAAAACTCTATAATTCATCCGGAGTGGAATCAACTCAATTGTTGAAATTCGCAACAATTTTCCTGATAATCTGACAAGAATCATTCGCAACTAAGTGTTTCAGCCGGTAAAGCTGAAAATTATCACAGAAATGTATAACAATATTACTTTCAAGCCTTGAAAGGCAAGAAATAAGAAAAAGTAGCGAATAATAGCAGTACCACCAACCTTCTCGAGCTTGATTACGTCAACATCCCCATCGATACTCAGATTATTGTAGTCTTTATCAGGGTTGATGTTCGGATGATGCTTGAACTCTCCGAATGGTATGCTATTCATCAGGAACTGAAAGACCAACAAAACTTTTGGTCAAAGTGTTCGAAACCGAGGATAAAAGAAACAAAGGAAGACATGGATCAGAACCTTCCTAAAAAAACAGCAGAAAATGGGCTCTGGACAGAGTTATTCTTTTATGATTTTTCTTCCTAAACCTAAAATTACTGAACACATTCATAGTTGGGCGAACTAGAGGGATCGGAAGCTGAAATTGCGTTGTTTACGCTCAAAACATCCTAACTATATATAACGCGCTCGCGCTTGTTTGTCTACCACGAAATTCGATAAATGAACTTGAAGAAGCATCTAGAGAAGCAGAGAATGAACCAGATCAACAGAGCACACGTGAGCTCAGCGGAGCGCATGCACAAGGGGCGGGACTTGCGCCGAAATGGGCGGTGCTTCAAGCAAAACTTTCCGATTTGGGTCTCATGACAGTTCAAACGCCGGGAAAACTGTAGGCAGGGCAGTATAAAACATTAGTAAAAGTTCAATTTTTATGCTACTCCATTAAATATCCAACAACACTCACCCGTAAGCCGCAGGGATCATTTTGAATAGAAAAAGTGAATTCCTTTCCCATTTGGAATGGACATGGTCCATCGCGTCGTTCAGCCCCCATCTTTCCGACATGAAGGAACTGCGCACAATCTAGAAATCAATTTCTGTAGGGCTTTCAATTGCAAGTTTCTAATTTCTGAGACAGCTATACATCTCGTTCAAGAGCCCGAGGGCTGAAATAGAGCAGGCAATTATTTTGATCTCCGTCTGTGATACTGAGGTTCCAAGAAGAACCGGTGCTCACACCACGAAGAACGACTCTCTTTCCCAGAAGATCCGGTGATTAGAGACCTGAAACAAAGAAAAATAATCAGTAAGAAACATCTCGTGCATCCTGTTTGCAGATGACCGCCAGGAAACGCCACTCCAATGGAATTTGGGGAAATCGTGATTTTCTTTACCAAACACGGAATCGTAATGAAATTAATGAACCAATTCGTACCTCGAACCCGCACTGGTGACCGTGATTGAACCCTAAAACTTGTCACTTTTATTTCATCCCTTTTATTGGAACTACCAATTAGCGAGTGCATCAAGTCAAGCGTAACACATATTTATTTGGGGACTGTAAAATGAGGATATGGCGCAATGGGTGGGGCGGTACTCCTCCAGAAATTCCCACAGCAAGCCGCAGTGGTCCCGTGCGACTTCCGCATTCTTTCACTGCAAACTCTAACCTTTCCCTTCACAGCGCACGATCGGGTGCGATGAATGCGACGCGGTTATCGAGGAGAAGTACCCACATCCTTTGCTATGGCCCGCCGCCCATTTCAAACGACACGTTTCTGGAAATTACTCAGCTTGGAAGGTTGTGTAGGGAAACGGTCAATTTGTTACAACTCTACCGAGAGCTTCAACGAAGCGGCTGTTCGAATGGCCACAAGCATTGATTTCGAGCACTCTCATCCATAACTCCGAGAGTTGAAGGTGAAGCAATCAAGGCAAGAAGAGCTTAAACGTAAGGAGTTGCTTGAATCTTAAATGGGATTGTTCTCCTTTCTTGAACACCAGAGGTACACGCTCTTCTCTTCCCTGAAACAGGTCATACCCTGAAACATGCTACCATACTTTGTATTCTGTACAAAAAACCCTTAAGTTAGGGGCAATATTTTTAGCTTTGGGCAGCTTCGAACTACAGTGCGTCGCCAAATTATACAGACACCCCCAATTTCCCCAAAAATTCACAGTATTTGATGTTTCTGAACAAGTGTGAACAAACAACAGTGAGTATGAACAACAACAACAAGTAAAAAATGTGTCAAATCTGAATTGCAACCGCACATTATCACCAAATTCCAGCTCGATAACACAAACATTTTTTTGGTCAATTTTTCAATAAAGGGTGCTTTTCCGACGTCGCCAAATGATACAGCCACTTCATGTCTTCGTGTCGTTTTTTAGTCCGACGCAACGAAATTGCTTCGATTATGTAACGTTCTTCATTTTCAGGCAATGGGAAGAGAAATTTGCTCTCGGAATTCGAATAAGGTCAAATCCTCGCTAAAAAGGAGCAGGGACTGTCAAATCGCGGAATCGCGCGAGATTTGGGTCGATGTCACACAGTTTTGGATACTTTCGTCAAAGTCCTGAAGCCTATGATAAACCAGAAGAAGTGCTGGACGCCCTTCGCTGCTTTCCGACAGAGACAAGCACCGTACTTTGAGGGAAGCGTCGAACTCCACTAAGTCCTGTATGGAAATCTGGTCGTTTCTGTCTCAAAAAGCACTGTTTGGAAGGTGAGCAGAAAATCCAAGTTCATATCTAGCAGAAAATCCGTAAGGCGTCCTCCATGACAAAAAGACAGAGGAAATCAGGTCGCTTCCGCCAGACGGTGCAGCCGAACCGAGTGGAATAAGGTGTTTTTCATGTGCTGACATTTGACCTTTCTTCTCTTGATAATTTTTGTTCTTCAAGTCGGTTTTTCCGATGAGAAGAAGTTCAATTGCGATGGTCCAGACGGAAACCGAATGCATTGGCACCATATAGAAAAAAGAAACTTCAATTTTCTAGACGCACCTTCAAGGGATGAGAGTAATGGTTTGGGCCGCAATTTCATCGAGTAGGCTTACCCGTTTATGTTTTGTGCCGAAGAAGATGAACCCATCCTTTTATCGGACTGTTATGCGCCGTGCACTTCTCTCTTTCTGGCGCCAAAATCTCTTTCGCCACCGAAATCTTGTTTTTATGCAAGATACCGCTCCAATTTACGTCAGTAGGAGCACCCAAGCTTGCTTCTCTCGGCACTTCTGCCTTGACCGGCGAACAGCTCCGGTTTGAGTTCGATGGAAAATGTATGCGGCTTCATGGTGCGGAAGACTTACGCCCAAAACAAGCAACTCCGAGGCGTCAAGGAGTTGAAAAAAGCGATGATCGAAGCATGGCACCAAGTTGCCAGGAGCTGACCGATAATTCTTTATTCGGGCCTAGACCACCGTATTATCAAAGTAATTCGAAAGAATGGTGGGTCAGCTGATTATTGACTTTGCAACTTTCTCTCCTTGTCGTATGATTGTTGTTAAATAAATTAATTTTGTGAGTGGCTGTATCATTTGGCGACGTTGGAAAAGCACCCTTTATTGAAAAATTGACCAAAAAATGTTTGTGTTTTCGAGCTGGAATTTGGTGATAATGTGCGAATTGCAATTCAAACTTGACACTTTTTTTACTTTGGCAGTTTTTCAGAAACATCGTATACTGTTAGTTTTTGGGAAAATCAGAGGTGGCTGTATCATTTGGCGACGCACTGTATGCTGTATGCGGTATCTGTCTGGCCTTTCTCCAACGAAATTTCATAATAACGACAAAGGCTACCAAGAAGGACATTCCCTTCAGACATAGTTCTCGTCGAAACGAGAACTCAAGTGCAGCGATGCCAGTGAACAGCTATCAGACGCTATGTGCGTGATATTGAACGTTCTAGGTCCACGTAAACAGGAGATATGAGTTTGCGGCCCAAAATTTCTATCGCGCACGCCCCGCCCCCTTTAAACGGAGTCCGGTCCTGCCACCCAACATAGGTGTTCCCTTCCTGTCCTCCGCACTCCTACTTAGTTTGAAGGCTCTAGGCCCACGGGGACAAGAGTTGTGAATTTCCGGTCGGACACACACACCGACACACACGAACATACACATTAGCGGAATATATGCTTACCAGTTGGGCCGCCCGCTTTACGCCGGGCCCTCTTTCCCTACATTTATTAATCAGTTAGAAATGCCCCCCCCCCTTAAAGGCACCGTTCACAAAAAAGTTAGGGTGCCCTTTTGACGGGAATTGATAGAACTACTCTAGAGTAAAGCGATAACACCGAAGAAAGCGCAAAAAACGATGAACAGAAAGAATTATAAAGGGTCAAAAAAGAGCTGGAAAGGGGGGTTGGACTAGTCTCACATTGAAATAACGGCGGTTAGGGAGTGTTCGGGCGAGAATGCACGAAGGCGACGCAATGTGTGCAATACAGATAACACACCCAAGCAGCTGATCGGATTTCTCCCTGCTATTATTATCTCCCTGAAATACTTACCTCATCCATTCGACGACGGCAGGCAGGGAATACTTAGAAGAGAATAGCGCAGAATAATAGTAGAATAGTAGAAATAACAGCTGAATACTAGGCGGTCGACCAGCTGATCATTCCTGGCAATTTGCCAATCAGCGTATCGATTTTTCACCAGCTTCGCTCCAGTGCGAATGTGGTGAAGGACAATTTGAACTCGTAGTCAGCTTAGCGAAGGGCGGAGGCCTGACGTCCCCCACTGTTCCTGCCCTTATTGTGCCCTATCCAGCCGTTTTCCGACCTCATTCCTGCACAAATGGTATCAGAGGGGGCTTCGAATTCAAACCATGTGCAAATCTCCGAAACCATTTTTTCGTGAACAGTGCCTTTAAGTGAAGAAATGTAGAGGAATGTAGGATAGAGCTGGGTTATCCATATCACTGCCTTTATCGTAATCAAAAAGCTTGCGGACGGACACACCGACAAACAGACATACCGACATACCAACATACCGACAACACACCAAGTTTCTGCTTTATGATAAGAGAGATAGTAGGATCGTATGAAGTGAAGGAAACCGAAATCAAAACAAGGGATTGCATTAGGAAGTAAATCAGACATTTGCCTCCCCGGGGACCTGGGCGTTTGTTGCCATATAGGTACTCTGTGATTCTGTGCAGTCGTAATAGGTGACACTACGAAAATTGTTGAAGCGCTTTCTCATCTTCGTGATGCGACGAAGTTGTCGTAAAGTCAAGAGCAATGAGCGGTTCACCATTAAAAACTCATTCGGCGCAAGAGCATCGAATAGCGCGGGTAGCACCTAAAGTTTTCCTCTTTGGTATTAACCGGGTTTCATTGATCTATACAGTAATCCTTGTCTTGGTCTCGAAGGTTATGAAGGATCACATTCCCAGCGATACCGGAAGACATTCCTATTACATTTTT